TTTGGATTCTGGACACCATCTACAAGTAAAATAAATGCAAAGCATTAGGAAAGGATATGCACCCAAGACCTTGATGTGATCCATCCCCAGGGAAGTAATGCCACATACAATAAGTTCCTTAAACTGCTAGGTTCATCATTAATTTTAGTTGTGAATTTTTAATTTATTCTGACTTACGTTCATTAACAGTGTCAATTCTAAATTTAAATGTTTCATTCTAACTTTAGGATTCCACCATTTAGGAAAGAGATTGAAAGAAAGATGACAATTTCTTCAAACGTCTCCCGTAAGAGTTAAAATTAGAACATTTAAGCAAAGGGCAGTGCAATAAAAATTGTGAAGAAATCAATATCAACTTTTATAACAGCAACGTCAACCCGCTGAACGGGATCACGGGAATCATTTTGATTAAAAAAAAAAAAAAAACCACAGGAGAAAAGTGAAACATGGAAGTAGAAAGATTAATAAAATGTAAAGAACATATATCAATAGCAAAAGGAATATTTGGTTCAGCTGTATCTAAAAATTAGATGAATTTGGATCCTAGGCCTGTAGCAAATACAGGCGTTGGGTGCCTATATTTACATAACAAGATCTATGATGTCTATTAAATCAAAGGTTTGGAGAATTTGTTGCAACACTGAATTCAAATATCTTAAATAGCACAACTAAATATCCACCTCAATTCCTACCTAAAATTCATAATTTTCTTAATAGTACAAGCCTATATTATTATTTTTATTCGATATTATGGTATTTTGCATCTATTTTTCATATTATAATTTTTTATATTATGATATATGAGTTTATATTATATATTATTTATGAATGAATTTATACTATTATATCATTGTTTTGTTTCTTTCATGCGTTGCTCAATGTCATAGGAAATGGAGGAAGATTTTATAACAACAATAGGCAAAGAATTTCACAATGTAAAAGAAGCATGAAAATTTCAGATCATTTAAGAAAGCTTTAAATTTTAGGCTGAAAGTGAGATAAATTTTCATTACATAATGTTATTTAAGAGATTTAGATGAATTTAAATTCAGTGTTTCTTAATATTGATTATAATAAGATCCTTCAAACTATTGATTTAATGAATAGTATAAATTTTGCCGCCTAAATATAGGCACCCAATGTATGTTTGCTAGGGACATGGGATCCAACTCTGAATTAGACATATAATCATCAATTACTCCTTTAATTTTCACGTATGCCTACTAACAAAGGTAAGATAACAAGCGCAGAAATATGGATAAAGATTAGATAAAATGGTTTAGGTCACTGACTTCATCTTGAACGACAATAATAGTATCTCCATAACAAGTAGAAAAATATTGTAAATATCATTGTCCAATAGAATCTGACAATTACTAGCATGTCGCAAAGTAAAACAAAATCATTTGGTGCCTACCTAGCAAAGATGCACAAATTTTTTGGAAAGGGAATTCACGAACTCTTTCTTGTGCTTAGATTGATTAGTCAGACTCCAAAAATAAAACCATTTGTATTCCAACTCACAAGAATATTCAGTGATGTAAAAAGCACAACCAGAGGCATCTAGACATGAAATTTGAACAAAGGAGAGGATGAGGTGCACCAAAAGGCAAGCCTGTCCTGTTGATAACCACAATGTTCGTATGCGATATGATGCTACAGTCGTCAATAAAAATAACTAAAAAATTTCAAGGGACACACACTGTCAATCAAACAAAGATTCACTTTCCCACCTAGTTCTGCCTTCAACTTCAATGCATGCATCTTATATGTATTGCTATTATTGTGCAATAGTAAATTAAATAATTTTAACATACTGCAGCCAATCTTTTGTTTTACGAGTAGCCACTTTGTCGTCACCGCCGTCATTATATAACCTTTCAAAACTTAACATTGAATATTTTTTTACAAACCCAATAATATAGGATTTGGTTTAGATACTAAAAATGTTCAATTCTATCATTAATGTTTAGATGAAATCATTATTGTCAAACTCTTAAATTGACTTTACGAGTTTACTGTCTCTACATTTTTAGCTTATAAAATCGTATTAACTCGTCCATAAACTCAAACTAAATAAAACGCCGTTAAACTCACGAGTTAACTATTTAAGTTTATTATTTTTATATTTTTAACTTATAAAATCGTATTAATCTACTCACAAACTCATTAAACAAGATATGTATATATTATGTAGAACTTAATTTACAGAAGCGGAAGAATTTGGTTCAATGAAAAATAAAACTTAAAAAAATATTAATATTAATAAAAAAGAAAATAAAAAATACCAAAAATAAGTTATGATATTTTTAAATTTTGATATTGAATATAATAATTTACAAATGTAGATAGATTTAATTTTAATAATTTATATTTAAAATATATTAAAATTAAATTATAATTATATTTCATATTTTAATTATTTAATTATGTATTTTTAAATATTATTTATTAATAAAGATGAACTCTTACGAGTTTATGATTCGAGTTTATATTTAGAGTTTACATCTGTATTCTGAATTTATTTAAACTCTCAAGTTTAATAACCTTAGATGAAATAGCAAGAACAAAGTTATTTTTATGGTCTTTTAGGTTTTGAGTGAAAATTTGACTATGATATATTTTTTTTTTATTTCAGTTTTGAGATGTGGATACTATGATAATAAATTACAAAATGTTTTACATCTGTTTTAGTGTTAGAGTTTAATTTATAAGATAAATAATCAATTTTTAAATAAAAATAAGATTCATGACAAAAAATACTATCAAAACTGACTGATGAAACAATTAAACTACTCTCCCTCTGAGTCAGTTGCCATCTTTATTTCTCTCTCTCTCTCTCTCTACCCCACTCCATCGCATTCAGCTTCAACTCCTCCTCACCGTTCAGCTTCAGTGGTTCTTCTTCTACAACCTCTATGTCGAGATCTCAATTTCTCAATATCTCTGTTCACTTCTTCATCAGCTGCTCACCTCGGTCGCTGCAGCTCCATCTTCCTCGACAATTAGTATTACTTTTTGCTCATTAGAATTACATTGCAATTACCAGCAAACATCAAGTTCAGGTGGTAAGAGGCGCTAGCTTAACGTTTATATCCTGTGTTAAATATTTATCGATAGAAATTTGCCATCAATATAATCCTACCCGGCTCGACTCACGAATAATGAATAATTATATAAAAAAAAAATTACATTACAATTTCCACATGCTTTTATTATTTTTATTTTTTGTTGGAAAAAAAAAATTAGGTAACTTAAATCTCGAGAGTGTTGTTATTCCGCTTATTATTAAATGACCTTTTTTACACCGAAAATCTTGGGAAAGAGAGTTTTTTTTTTTTTTTAAAATGGTTTTTCTTGGATATTAGGAACTTCAAAAATGAAGAAAAAGTTTTCTATCTTATCACTAATATGAGATATTTTTAAAAACTGATTAATCTATTATGAATTTCTCACCTCTTTATCATTTTTATTGAAAATTTTTAATTCTTACAAAATGTAAATTGAAAATTTTATTAGCGCGACTTTAATATCAAATAGTAAATTTTATTTCAGATGTTTTTATCTGTTGCAAACCTTTTTATAATTCGAAAACATTACCCACGCAAGAATACATCTCACCTAAAACCAAGAGTAGTTAACGTTGGAATATCTCCCGTTATATTAAATTCTTGATCTATTTAAATTTTTTATACATTTTTGTGTGAAATATTATTTTAGCCAACTTGCATATTTAAATTTTAAAAATTAATAAATGAATAAATTTACATGACTAAATTGAAAATATGGTAAAATAAAACTTAAAACATGTGAATAAAAATATTTCTTTTATAACCTATATGGTTTTTAGACGATAGATGTGTTAAAGGTGTTTTAGTGTAAAATTAAAATTTATGAAACGGTCAATTAATAATTAAGAAGATAAAAATATAATTTAAGATTTATGGAATCCTCTTTTCATGCCATGAAACAGGAATCTTTTGTTTTTTAGCCATAAAAAATAGATGCCACAGAAAATAAAAAAATAAAAATGATACTCCTTTCATTAATTTTTATAAATTATTTTTAACTACCCCACACCTACACATACTAAAATAATTAATTAATGCCCATTAAGAATTCTAATTTTTAAGTATACCTTACTTCCATTAAATACGGTTGATTCAGAGAGAAATAAAACAAATTAATAGGATCAATCAATCAAGCATTTTCTTATTTAAGGTAAAAAAGTAATTCCTTATTTAGTATAGATATTTTTTAAATAAACCCATTAATTACTTTCAAAGTTTTATATAGCGACTTATAAATTGAAATACAAAATCCTTTCATAAGATAATTTATTAAAATTAATGGATAGAATATACTAAGTCTATATTCTCTCATAATTAATTGTATAAGTAAAACTTCAATTTGAAATATTTGTTTGCAAAAAAATAGAAAATACACTAAAATAATTTTTAAATTGAGGGCTTGTCTCCTCCCTAATTTTATCCTTGTCTTTCAACTGAACAACTTTCTAATCAAATGTAATCAAATCCCTTTATTATTCTCAAACTAAATTCATTGTCAGATTAGTCATAGCATCATAGTTTGACTTTTAGAATGACAAATTGTACTAAATACATCTTCCTCTTATATTCTTGAGCACGTTAAATTAGAATGATGTTCTTCGCACAACACTATCTCACCATCCTTCATGCATGATATTTTAACACAACATATCTATAAACATGGTGTTTAATTTCATAATAAATCAACACTGATGAGGTAAAACGAAAAAGGTGTGTTGGCCACACACAAAAAATGTAATAAGGCGTGAACGAGATAGTGTAGAATTCGACCATGTTATTTGAGCAATGACCAGTTAATTTTATCAACTAACTCACCAATTCCATATAAATTTGTTGAATTTCTGCACACGTGTCAATAAGCCCTTGAAAGTACCGAAATGCGAAAGTTATGCAAAGGACCATATTTGAATGGTTTTCATGCATCTAGCATAGCGAAACATAACGATGTTAATATAACCGAGTCTGCGATCAATCTATATACATGATTTCCCCTATGACAAGAAATTGAAGTAGATCTAGGAAGTTGGAACATGAAGAAAATGCAGAATATAAGTAATACGTACTCTTCTTCTTCTCCTTTTCTTTTTTTTTTCTTTTTTTTTTTTACATTGAAGGTGTAATCAACTGCCCACTTAACGGAATCAGAGACTTGTATAGAAGGCGACTAGAAGATTTAGACCTTGTGGCATAAGTTTCTGGCATTGATATGAGCTGCAATGAGGGATCCAATATTGCCCTCCAAAACAGAATTTAGTTCTGGCACCTCAATGTCAGTCTTTATATCGTGGACTAGCTTGTACGGATGAGAGACATACCTACGAGTTTCTTCTTGCCACAGATTCACAATGGCATCTTTCCTTATACTACTTATCCCGGAAACTCCTTGTTCCCTTGCTATCACTTCAAGTTTAGCTTTCAGTCTGTTAAGCGCCTTCATCTTATTAGCAAAATGGGTTCTCTCACCTGCCCAACATACTAAGCTTCAGCATCGAGCGTAGTTCATGTTAAATTTCAAATCCAAATGCAGGTTCTGATTTAAACTACTAGAGCCTTAAATTCTGACAAGATTCAAGACAAGTAGTGAAGAACACGTATTACATGAAACTAAACATTTAAGCATGTGAATACCTGAGGACTCCGCACTTATCCCAGTCGGTTGATGCTGAATGCAAACTCTTGCCTCAGTACGGCCCTTCTGTTCTCCAATACTTGAAGGCGATGAGATAATCAAATCCTCGTGATCAATTTCCAGGTCAGATGAATTTTCAAGGAACAGGGGAACAACATCGACAACTGCTGAGCTGGCCTACAAAATTTAATTTTTGAAAAGAAAGATGATATCAAATCCTCATGATCAATTTCCTAGCTAGATGAATTTTCAAGGAACACGAACCACACACACAACTGCTGTGCTGGAATACAAAATTAAATTTTTGCAAACAAATGCTAATAAAATTTCATTCTTTAGTGGAAAAAGGTAAAGAAAAGGACACAAATTCATAAGCCTAGATTAGATAAAGCCAAGCGATAATTGTATTATCATGGCAATAAAGAAGCTGAACCTTCTGAAGGCAAATCAATCAAGATCATATAAATAACAGCTTTAAGATATAAACGAAATCTTCCATTCAGATGTCATCGAATCCATCAGTCAATTGGTATTTTTAAAGTATGGATGAATGATGGAATCTCATTGTCAATTCCAAAACTTTTTTTTTTTTAATTTTCATGAAGTTTTGAACCTGATTGTGCTAATCTTGACAAAGTGAAAAGTTTCTTAAAAACATACAGATCTTAGAGTGAAATTAGCAAATTTGGTCCATATCCACCGAAAGCAGAAAAAAGTTTTATACAAGGACGAAGAATGATACTGATATTTTTCTTACAAGAATGATACTGACATTAAAACTTTTGCAGTTCAACTATCATCGAATTTATGAAACTGTACTGACAGTGAACCACATTCAAATAAACCAGACAAAGCTGGTCAGAAATTGATCGCTTCTTAAAACCAGTTTAGTGAGAAATATTTGGAACGAAATCTGCAGATAAGGAACTAAAATATTTCTCACCATAAAAAAAATTTCTTACCAATAATGTTCAATATGAAAGCAAAGCAAAATCAATGAACGAGAAATTAAAAGTTTACTAATAGGTGGGACAAAAGAGTAGTCACCTCCAGCAGAGAAGATTCATCCAAAGAACTCCTTATCATGTGGTGAGCTCCTTTTTCTCCCGAAAGATAACTATAAGCACACTCAAATTCGAATTCTATAGTTGCTGAGGCAATACCACCATTCTCGAACAGGAATCTATCAACTACTCTTCCTTCATGACCTTGCTTTTTGGCCCACTTAAGATACATACTTAGAAGCTGTTCTGCCCAAAGCTGTATTCATGCAAATGTGGGTCAAAGACTGCCAGAAGTATATGTAAATAAACAGCCGGAGTACAGATAATATTGGTTCACAGTTTCGGCTGTCAGCAACCCAGCATTACAATAACTCAGTTGAACATTCAGATTTTATTAGGAAGAACACTACGAAAATCCACACATTCCTTGTATTTTCATGCCTATAGAACATCTGTCAACAATTTGCCTCACGTGTGAGAGTATGCCCTGAAAAATCATAAAGCCTGATTTTGTTCGTTTGTTCCTGGTTCACGATAGAACAAGAACTCAAGATTGAAATCATGCCGAAATTTCATTACCTGCTACATAATGTCGCTACTTGACAGTCTTAAAAAGAACACGTGCACCCATTAAATTGCATATGCACCTCACTAACATACTGGACTCAATTTCTGAAGAAATGACTGAAGAAGTCATTGTTCATTGTTGCTTATGCATACAGCAGTGTGGAAAATTAAGCATTTGGGTTGTAAATGAAACTACTCATTTACCAAGGCCGTGTTTGATTTGAGGGATTTTTTTTTTTTTTTTTTGGGAGTGGGGTGGGGAGCCAAAATTTCCCCCTCCCCTCCCCTTATTTTGGTTCCCTCCAAATTGGGGTATGAGGGGTGATGTCAACTTTAGTTCCAACTGTGCACTCCTTGAAGCAAGATCAAACTAAGCAAGTGAGTTCCTTACCATAATGAAGTGCAAAATGCAAACAAATTATCATCAAACCTTATGGTGGATGCCTCCTGTCCCAGCTTGAATAATTAAACAAGCTCCCTCCAGATCAAATGGCCCCTTGAGAAGCTTAGACATCTCATACTGATCCAGAATCTTGCTTGCATCCAAAGATGCATCATATGCTTGCTTATAAAACCCATAATCAATGGCATTCATCTCAGCCAGCTGAATAATCAACTTTGCTTCCTCCACCTGCAGAATACCAAGAACATAGAACATTGAATCATTTATCTATATGCTTTTTGTGGCTACGGCAAACAATATGTTTTTCGATATGCTGGAGCTATGAGGGCAGTCATGTTATAATTTCATAAGGAAGCAAAACGCTTGCTAGCCTTCTCTAGAATATGAGACTTCTTAAGCAAAATTCACCGCATTTTGGTTTTAAGGGATTGGTGGAATATTGACAGCTAGAGAACTCTACTACAAAAAGAAGTTTATGGCGGCTATAGCTATGCATGAATGCTCAGTAATCAAAGATGCCATTCATAATGTTAGTTATATCTCTAAGCTTCATAGAACAGCATTCTAACTATTATGGTTCACTAATTTCTTTATATGCACTTCACTCTTAAATTCATTGCTATACCTCACTTATTATTAATCAGTTTATAAGATTCCAAAATATCATAAATTCATAAGCCAATAACTCATCACCAACCCAACTGTTTCAAACAGTAAAAATGAATCATTATTTCAACCAAACTTCTGATGAAATTGAAGCGACTAGAGTATAACCTTATATTTCAAGTCCTTAAGAGCATCAACCACTTTGGCACTATCTGCTAACCTGACCAGAATGTCATTCGACTTATTAAGATCATCCCACAGATTATAGTTACGTATCATTTCTTCTTGCTCAATCCATCTTGCTTCTTCCATCTCCAAGGCCATAGGAGCAAACATTTCAGCCCGAAGAACTGCATCTTCAATTTTCCTTCTTAGAGAAAATAAACCTGATCGTATTTCAGTAGGTTGTCAGAAAGAAGTGACACCAAAGAAGCAGGCACCAGACAAATACTAACTGTTGCCAGCCTAATAGAGCTCCTCACTCAAAATTGGTTCAATGGCTTATCAAAGGCCAACCAGATTGGCAGAATAGGTGTCAATAACATAAAATTAAAGGCCTATCCAGGAAATTATTTAGAAAAAGGGAGTTAAAGAAATGAGAAACGGACAGCGAGCAAGTTTGATGAACGCCACCACTGCTTCACACTGCACCACTTTCCCAAAGGGAAAATATATGCATGATTCACCTAACCATTGAACTATCATGCCTTAACTTTCCAAGCCGTCAAATCAAATATCAATGATAATATTCACTCCCTCCATCCCAAAATGAAAGTTAAATTCAAGAATATTTGAGGTATTCGAAATGTAAATGTAAGTCATTTTATAGAATGCTGTGAGCATTAAGTATTTCTTTTTCAAGTTAACCATTATTTATGAGAGAAATCGAGAGAGATATCATTAATATAAGATTATTAAAAAGGGCAATTTTGAAAAGATAAGGTAATTTTTAAAAAGGTAAAAGTTACTTATATCTTAATCTTGGAGAGACTACTTGAAAAGGTAAATGTTTATAGGCTCCTATTCTCCACATTAAAACATAAATACAAAATAAACTATATTCTTACAAATAGGGAAATACCTATAACCATATCAACCAAAATCTAAGATAACACCATCAACTCACTTTCTTGCCCAAATTATCGCGCAATAATGGCTATTTCTTCCATAATCAAACACCAAGAGAAACCGTTGCCGAAAGAAAACACACAGCTGAGCCCTAGCCCTAGTTATCTTCTAAAAGCTTAAACAGAAGATGCCTCCTTCCGTCCTTATCATCAGTTAGTCAATCAAACATATTTATTTAGAGGACCTGAGTCAATTGACAAACATTTCGGTGTAATCGAAACATCAACCACAGAAATCTGAAATAGTTTCAAGTCCCCGTACGCTAATGCGTACAGAGAAAGCAATATGGAACGGACCCACTTGCTTGTAGACTTCTTTCTCGTCAACCATGGAATGACAAGCTCTAATTCCCAGCTGAGTACGTAGCTTTTTCTTCATCAGGGCAGCCCGCAATTTGGCATTGAAAGAAGGCGAAGAACCATAAGCGCTTCTTACACAAGCACGATCAAAGATTATGGTCGCCATTGCTACGTTTGGATGCCCCCGCTCTTTCCACAACTTCTCTCCTTCTCTTCCTTCCCTCCACCGGCTAAACTTGAGACTCTTATCTTCGAATTCATTTCAGAAAGACGTTCGCTGCCAATGAAGACAGGTGGACTACAAGATAGCCACAACGGGGAAGTGGATAGTGAATTGCTTTTGCTACTTGCCGCCGTTCACAGGAATGAATCTACTACTGACTACTACTAAATAAGTAACAATTTGAATATTTTTTTGAAGTCTTCCTTCTTGTAAGATGTTCTTTTAGCAGTTCTATATTTTTATTTATAAGATTATTTATAAAATTTCTGGCCCAAAAAAAAAGATTATTTATAAAGCTTGTGCAATAATTAATTTATTTTTTGAAAAATCCTAAAAAAGTTTTTTGACAGCAAAAAGGTGCTTCTAATTAATTAAGGAAATTTATATTACTTTTTTTATAAAGCTTTATACTCCCTCCATTTAAAAATATAAGACATTTTTAATCGAATCTTACCCCCAATAAAATAGTTAACTACTTTCAAACTAACTTTATTTTTCACATTTTTCTCTATCAAACACCCTAAAATAAATATAAAATTATTATCAATAAAAACACTTTTGAAAAAAAAATATAATGATTACACTTCGAAAGATTAAAAATGTCTTACATTTTTTAACATTCAACTCCTTAAAAAATGTCTACAGATAAAATATATAAAATTAAGATAGCTTTTTAAAAAGAACCTCAAAAAAGGGAAAAAAAAACTGGTACTTTTGGACTTCTATGTGATGAATATTCGCCCAGTTCAATATATGAAGACAAAGCATTATTTATTAATGAGTATTAGTAATTATTCAAATATTGCTTGTTTATCATCACTATACTAAGATCGACGGTGGAAAAAAAAAGTGGGGAATATGTCTAAGATTGACAATTAGAAACGAGACAACGATACCAGAAATTTTATCCATTCCTCCAACCAACTATACCGGTCTCTTTCTCTGTACATCTCAATTAGATTTGCAGCATTTTTGACAAAATCAACAGGAACATATCCAGTTATCACCCAAAATTAAAACACTGTCGGCAGGTTACCTTTGTTATACAAGAACTACCTCTCCAGTGGTATAAACCTGTTGGGCAAAAAATATACACGAGTAACGATAAATATGGCCAAATTTTGTGTCACAAGAAATCGTGTTAATCATCACTGGGCAAGTCACCATCCTCACAAGGACTCTGCAAATTGAAAGGCCTCCAGGTCAAGTTCCTGCCTCATGACACAGTTCATAAACCACTCAGTGCTGAAAGTCCGGATCCCCTTCTTTGCAGCTACCATTGCTTCTTCCATATCTTCTTCACATGTCACAAAAATGGTTGAAGATGCTTCATTTACTTTCTTCAACCCACAAATAACCTGATACGAAGAAGGAAAAAAAAAAAAGGCAGAATTTGTGAAGAAATCAATATATTCATCTTTAACCAAGCAAAACTTGTGTGAGCAGCATATCAGGCAAGCACATGCAAGACAATTCTCAAAAGATATTTCCCTGCTCGATGGAAAGAATAGCTCCTAAGAAATTGGAAAAGAAAAAAGCTCAGGCTTGACATTAAGGAAAATTTTTATGGCTAAAAAATGTCAATTAGCCATGAAAGTTGATGGTGCCACTTCCCTAAGGGTTCCATAACACGTCACTTTAAGTAACTAAAAAGATAATGCTATAAAACTGACTGACGTTAGCTCTGACAAAAGGGGGTGGGTTCTACTTAAGCATGATGTTTTAGGTTTAAACCAATGTAAATGCAGAAAACACCTTTAGAAAAATAACCTCTCGTGTAAAGCTTCACCCAACTTGATCCAAATTAGGCATAGTCTAATTTGGCTCCGGAAATTGGTGGTTTGCCATGAAAAAGAAACATAAGGCCATGGAAAAATCTATCCACCAAGAAATTAAGCTTTTCATTATTTATTTCACTTTGAAATTATAACCTTATTAATGATATAGTTAAAATGAGAATCTTAAATTAGAATATAATTAACAGCAGAACAGCTTAATCTTCATTGAATTGAATATTGGGGCTGAGTGATGGAGAACTAATAAAGGATGTAGTATACCATCCATAAGAGGTCAAACGGTATGTCTTCAAGGAACATAGTCCTACATTCAAATAGAATCTTTAGTTCTGATTGTTGACTGGTTCATCCATGAATTTTAACATCCCAATCGCTTTACTTTCATGTTCTCTTTAAAAGGGTTGTAAAGGCGCAAAGAACCAAAGTATACAGAGAACTGAAATTCATGTGTTCAAAAGGAAGTACACCATACTTAGGTCTCTTTCTAACTTATGATCAACGGTTGACAGCTTGAGATCAATTAACACGAGGGCCCCTAGATTGTGTTATCCTATCAGTGTGCATACTTGGAAAGTTGAAGGTCTAACAAAAGAAAGTCTGGATCACACTTGAAGACAAATACAGATCATTAATGCCTGAATTCATTCACGAAACTTGGAAAGTTTTCAAAGCTATTTTGAGTAATTTTCTAAACCTTTGAACTAGCTTGGTAAAGGAACCTTCTTTACATCAACCAAGGGAGGTCACCAAAATCAGTTGAATGTACATAGTTTACTACAGAGTATAAATATACACGTATACATGTTTTCATATGAGAATTTGTGTTCAAATGCTTCATTTGATTAGTTATCAGTACAGTATACATGTTTAAATGATACAATATTCTACTATGCCAAAAGAGGAGGGAAAGGGAATTCCCAAGCACATACTCATACTTCCCCTAAACCATATTCAAATTTCAGTGAAAGTACTAGAACTTACATTACCACCAGCAGAGCTCACAATTGCAGATAGTGTTTTAGCAGGAGGTTGAACATGATCCGCAATACACACGTCGTACCCCTTGAACAAAGCTCGAGGGTTGGCTTTTGCTTGGAGAACTGCAGCTTTTAAATCAGACCTGTACTTCAATAGATAATCCTTGTCATCCAATATATAAGCTAGCTCATCTGCATGTTGATTTAGAACAAGGAGTGGTTATATTCCCAAATGAATAAAAGATATTAAACAAGACAGTTGATTTGACCTACCAACAAATTTGCCTTCACGACAGCTTTCTTTTAACCAATCAGATGAGACCACCCAAGCCCTGTGTAGTTAGCAACATCCACATGTTATGAGTTATATATAATCAACCTAAGGAACATAAAGAAACTCTTAGCTGTAAACATGATGCACCACTAACTTAAAATGAATATATGGTAGTATCATATGCACAATATTAATCAAATCAAGAGTAAAACAAAATAACAGAAACTAGTGCTTTTGAAATCAATGAAATAAGAAAGAAGACTACCCTACGATAACAAAACTACAACCATTATAAGCCTGTAAGTGAGAACAATTGAAAATGGAATGTAGTTTCAAATTAACTCCATATTTCTTTTTATTAGGTTTGTTTTTTTCACAGTACATTGTACGGTAAATGGTTTAGTTTTACCGCTTACTGTTTATCCAAGCAGATAGATATTCTAAGATAAGTGTGCATTTAAGTGCATTGGGCCCTGCTCCTCTTTCAATGAAGTAATCGTGCAAAAAGTGCTCTCTGTATTTTCTGGTGTTGGGTAACAAGGTCTAGTGGAAACCTTTCCTTTCCTTCATGAACAGAAATAAGCTGAAAATAAGTAAATTAAAAAAGAAAAAGGTTTCTCAAGATAATAAAAATTTAATGATGGAAACTACAAATATCATATAATATTACTCTGCATGAATAAATTCAAACATACTAAAATTTGCATTGTGCTTCTTGAAACATATTTTTATTGTTCCAACAAGTGAACTGCCAAAAACTTTAAGATCTTGACAAATTGGGAACACTACTTTGAAATTTTCAGGAATACGAACAGTTAAATTAAAATAAGACGAACAATAACTATGGAAAAGTTAGGTAACATTGTCCAGGTGGTATAACAGCAAACTTGTGTCCCAAAAAACTGCAAGATTCAAAATATTTATACTCAAAGGTAATCAAAGATGCTGAAACGAATTAATTCGCTTCATTCAAGAAACAAGAAATATGCTTATCCAACACCATATCAAAATTAAGCGATATCAAGAAAAGAAGGAAAACAAAGGCTCTGATAATCTCAAGCTCTAGCCACAAATGAAAACTATTTAAATAATATAATCATCCACAAATATTTTCTCTAGGAAGTTAAGCAAGATGAATGTTTAGAACTAACCCTGAGCAAAGGGCAGTACAGAAATTCAAAGTTTTCCTCACTTTGCCTGTGACAACATGCGTGGCCATGCTTCCTTCAGAGGTAACAGTGCCACCAAGGGCTTCAATTGCCTATTTATAAGAAGAAAATTGGTGTCAAGACTTCATATATGACATAACCTTCCAGGAATTCATTCCATTATTAGAGAAAATAGTTGCCAAGAGATTCAATTTGACACTATTTGATTTTTAAATACTTTGTTCCTCCCAACTATGGTGAATCAGTCCTTACAAGAAAGATTAATTCATTCAGAAGGAGCAAAGCATATCCCCACATATAGGACAATTAAAGCAGCATGCTAATACCCAATACTACCAATCCTATTCAATAAGTACAGCATGTCTGAATTATTCTGGTAATGCAACTATCAAACGAACCTTTGTAAGATGCGTTTTCTTAGCATCATCAGTTATATTCATCAGCATGATTCTAAAGCATTGTTTAGTTGATAGCTGTTCATTGTTGACTTGAGCTTCTAACTGTAAATAATCCCCTTTAGGTTTCTCAGAATTCTTTCCTTGGACACTCAAAGAATCACCACATGGACGCTCCACTGAACTCTTTCCACTTGAAACGCCCCATGAGCATCCCACAAAGCAAGAACTAGTCCTAGCAACCTCTGAGACAAAACCCCAGCTAGACTCAGATCCACTGTCAACTAAATGGCTTCCTTTCACTCTTTTTGACTTTAACGATGACAAAGAGGCTTCCCATGTCCTCTTTGCACCTTTTGTGGAATTAGAACAATCCTTCATTTCTGCACCAACTCCATTGTTTGCAAGTCGAACAACAGTCAGCAGTGAGTCCCCGACTGCACCCACAAAGAATTGCAGCTGTCAAGTCTTTTTGTTAGAACAAAAGATTGCATAAAATACACTGTAAATCAATTAATAGACCTTAGAGAAGAGACTACCATTTCCCCCTTTCAATTTTTCAAAACCATTAGATCCTAGAATATACCCACAAATGGGAGAGAAGGGGGGAGCCCAGAGCCACAGATAGACAGATTAAAAGATATATCAGGAGAAAACCTACCACCCAATTTATCATATTCTCCGAAAAATCCTTCATTCACCAAAGCCTTAGGATGACTAGTCTCCATATTATCTGGTCTATCAATAGATTTATGTGAAAAGTTCAAATCAATGTGCAACTGTCCTGTAGATTTAAGCTGATCGTTCTCAGCATTTCCAAATGTCAAGCAATTCTGATGTTTTGAGGGAAGACACTTCATAGAGTTAGCAGCATCAGCTAACAATTCCATCCTTAGATGGCAAACCATGAGAGTAGAACCACCAGGAAAGCATAATGCTTTACGAATAGCAGCTTTTATAGGTAACCTGCGAGCTCTACCTTTGGTGTCCACCTCTGCTATAGATATAAAACCCTGCAATTGCAAAGAGTTTTTAAATACAGTAACATCAGAACTCAAAAAACAACTTTCACATGAATGAAGAAAATTTATGGCTCTATATTTTAGCAAATTGCATGGGACACTGTTGAGAATTCATCTAACCATAAAATTTGCCCTCTTTAGATAAATGTTAAACTAAATCCGTTTTTTTAGTGCATTTGAATCTATCAATCACTGAGCATTTATAGAAAGACTCAAAATTAAAACACCATAAGTAAAAGACCAGATATGACTATAAGATGCTCAATACTCCTATCCTGAGATGTTCCATTTATAACTTGCCTCTTTAACTCTTCACAGAGAGGCTCAAAAATGAAACGACATTCCACAGAAGTAAACAAGCAGATATGACCATAAGAATTAAGATGTTCCACACTTCTGAGATGTTTTATCTGTGATTTACCTGTTTAAGCCAAAACCCTTCAGATTCTTTGTCACCCCAGCAGAAAATTGAACGAATACCAACATGTTGAAGTCTCTTCCGTAGCTCTACAAACAACATATGACCCAGACCCTGGGAAAAAAACATAACTTAGAAAGCTTACTTGAGCAAATAAGTCAGTGAAATTTACTGTGCCAGCATAAAAATGAGCTTAAACATAAAGCAGAGATCATATGTTAGAGAATTAATAAAGTGCTTAAAATAGTATACAAGTTACACCATCTTTGTACTTGAACAGTTTGAAATTCAGATAAGCTTTCAAATACCAGATCCTTCAGAAACAAGATTAGCACAAAATTTGAACTTCACGTGTCATATACCCCTCTTCTCCCAGATTTCATTATGTGCCAGAATTGATTGTTAAAATGATTCTCTTAAAGGCATCACCACTTCATCATAAGATACAGAACCAAGAAAATTACAATTGGAAGCTTTCAAGGAAATTGAAACCAAACTAAAAACTAAAAAAATACTCCTACACATTAGCCATTACAACTTCATTTCTTGAAAGGACCCTCGTTTCCATGACATCATGATATTTTGAAAACAGAAAAGTAAAATAAAGAAAATGTAAAGAAGAAGAAGAAGAAGAACAGACCTTGCCTTGACAGATTGCACTAACCGCTGCAAGTGGGATCTCTGCATACTCTGTATCTGCAGGGACTATTTGATACGTGATGGCAGCTATGACCTATAAAGGGAGAAAAAGGATTGATGAAGGAACATATAGAATCATATTTCTTTAATTCCACCGATTCATTTAGCTACATAATTATAACATGGTAAGAAACAAAAGTTTTCTATCAATTCTAAATTAGTAAATTCAGGTGGTCTTTGAGATGAAAAGGAAAGAAGCAGCATGAGATCAACAAGGTCAATGCTCGATGCAACCTAGCTGTTAGGACCAATCTCTTCATCTGTGTTGATTAAGTTCATCTGAGAATGACACATACAAGCACACTCCAAAGCATCCTTCAGGTATGAACAGCAGTTTTTCTCATTAAGAAACCAACATAAGGCTATATCAAAATTCATGAAGTGGTTAAGATCAAATAAATTATCTTTCACTATTCATGCGAAGATCCCTCACAGATTAGAAATGGCAGTTAATAAAATGACAAACATGTCAAATTCTCTCTCAATCAGTACTAGTTCATAGCGTTGCACTAACTATAATGAATTGTAACACATTTTATAAAATCTAACAAATTATTTAACATCAGTTAGAATGACAAAATTATACGTTTAAAGCTAGCTTTGTGCGTGCGGACGGGTGTGAAACTAGGCTTACATCCAGCAAATCACTTGTGCAAAAGTAATAGTTATATGGTGTCTAACTCATTCAGCCATGAAATGCTATCAACGGCTTAAAGCATGCATATAAATTTATGAGTTTAATCTGCATATTCAATTACCCAGTAATTAAAAATATGCTAAAATTTTCACCCAAAAAAAAAGTATGCTACAAATAATAACAAGGGCAATATCTAGGCCGCTATTGCTATTCTCTAGAGAGACAGAAGGTACCAATATATATGTTTGGATGAAGTTGAAGACCGCACAAATATGTCTTCTACTCTTCCCTTGGCCCATAGCAATTTCAAATACCATTCTTATATTGCAATATAATGCAGAATTGCATGGATCATGCTACACAGACGTTTTAATATTGCATGCAGTTCTCGCTACACCTCAGTTAAATGAAAGTTGCTACATTATAGGAGTAGAGCAAGACCTAATGGGACATTGCTACGTATCACAGAATGGAATGCTATTAAGAATCATGAATTCTCTATTTGGTAAACAAGCACCCTAGTTCACCTAGCAAACATACATACCTTTCCAAAATCTCCAATAGAACCAGATTTCAAGAGCAGTGTACGATATTTCCTGCAGGCATAAACAATTCATAAATGAAAGTCTCTTACACCTTTCAACTTACTTGCGATACATATACAATCCTACTGCACAAGTGTAAAAAATTACGATCAGCATGATTGATGAGCCAGAATTACAGCCATGGTCAAACGACTATAACCATGCAAGGGAAGAAAGTGAAATGAGAAGAACGTAATACCCATTAGTTACACATCTTTCAAGAAATTTTGATTGCTTTCCAGTATTCGCAGCATAATTCATTCCGGGTAGTTCTGTCATATACATCTGTAATACTTCCTGCCAACCCATTTACAGAAATACTCAGACTACAGCTTAACATACGAGAGAGAAGAGAAAATATCTAGCAAACAAGGAGACTCACACCATACAAACAGATTCTCACACAGAGGGAGAAAATGTTTCACCTGTAGGTAGGATTTGCTGGTGCCGTCAGCATCTTTAGGATTAACAAGGACGAATTCATGATCTACATAAATCCAAAAATTTTAAAAAATAAATAAATAAAAACATCATCGGATTATAATAAAGACTAAACTCTCAAACGCTAATCGGATCTTAATAAAGACCAAACTCTCAAACGCTCGATACAATAAACATGGAAATATAACATCTCACCTCTAACTCCAAGTTTAAAATTCTCAGAATCATTTCCATTATTCGTAATTTTGCCTTTCGCAACTGCAAAATTGGAGGGTAAAAGGCCACAAACAGTGTTAATCAAAATCCTAATCAGTCCGGGCTTTATGTTTCTTTCCGGGAAAAATCACTATTACATACCAGCTACTTTAATCTTCCCGCTTGTAGGAAGAGAAATTTGGAGGCCATTTGAATCCGACTTACAGGTGAAACGTTTGGCCTCAACGATAATCTCGCAGTTACCTGTAAGAGAGAAAAAGTGTCGAAGTACCGGTCAGAAATGGAGCAAAACAATGAAAAATGTTGCATTCTAGGGTTTTACCGATAGGGATTGGAGAAGAAGGTTTTGTTTTTTGGCGCCATAGTTTCTGTGATGTGTAGTTGTGTACTGTCGTTGGAGTTCAGGGTTAAACAAAACTCTCATAAAAGGGCGGGAGCAAATGGCGGTGCCAATATGAAGTTACGGTGACATTTTCCGATTTTCGTCCATCTATAATATGGGCTGGATCAATCTGATCCTTTTTATTGGGCCAGGAGATCAATCTCACTTCATCAAGATAAAAACCAAAGGCGCTAAAGTTAAAAGGCCATCAGGAAGGACATGAATCCTCATAATTTGAAATACGGCATGGGCCTGGGACTGGGCCTGGGCCTGGACTTGGAAGCATCAGCATGCAGGTGTCTAGATGTCTGAAAATCTGCTTGTAAGAGTTCTTAGGTAGGACAGATGTAACACATCATTTATAATTTGTCTAATAAAAATATAATATTTAAATTATATTAACTATAAATTAATTTTGATATTAATGATACTAAAGAGTGAAAGAGCAAAAAATTTAATTTTCATTATGTTATAAGAATAAAACCAATTAAAAAAATGTCACACTAAATTCTATTTAGATTACTTAGAACATTTTAATTTTAATTGGGTAGACTACAAATTATATATTATGCCCAATATATCCAAGTAATTCTCTTATTTGAATGGAAAAAAATCTCAAGGAAAGCTATTTTAATTGGATCCAACAATGCTCAATTTTTTTTTGGGTAAAAATGAGGCCAAAAGCCTGAAAAACTAAATAGCTCCTAACCCAAAATCCAAACCCGACACATCTCTAACCTTATCCTTTACAAACACATCAAGAACCTTAGGATGCATCAAACCCCATCGCCGACACTCTCTCTTCATCCTTAAACCAACCTTTGCCATTCCATCCGCATACCCATTAGCTGATCTACGAATGGTTCTGATTCGAATCTCCCATCGTTGCTCTACCAGTTGCCATACTCAACTCAACATGCAGCTTTCTGCCACTCCAGCGTGATGCTTCCCCTTCAAAAATCTCACCAACTCTTACGAATCTACTTCCAGCTCTATCTTCTTCCACCCTAACTCCCACGCAATCTCCAGAACCCTTAGCGCTCCCCATCCTTCAGCTTCCAAAACACTGTAGACCCCCAAGTTCTCAGCAAAGCCACAAATCCACTCCCCCTGATCATCACGAATCACTCCCCCACACACTGCAATCCCTTGCTTACCCCAATAAATCCCATCAATATTAACTTTAATCCATCCAGACTCAGGCGGTCTCCAGCATTCTACCGCTTCAACTGAAGATAGGCACTTTAGTACGCACTTATTATGAGCAATTTCCCCAGCAAACTACTAGATCCTGAAGCAACTATCAGCATCATGGTTTCTAGAACCAAATACTCTCAAGTTCCTCTTTTTCCAAAAAGCCCAATAATCAACAGCAAACACAATCGACCAAGGTACATTCCTAACCCTCTCACTGCTCTTAAGGTTATGTTTAATCCATCTCTGTAATGGCTCAGAGAAGAAATTAATATTAACTGAATTATTAAACTTCCTCCATAACTCCTTAGCTACCTGACAATCACAGACCACATGGATAGAATTCTTTACACCCCCACACACATCACAAACTGCACTTGCCCCCCATCGCCTATTCCTCAAAGCTTTAATATAGAGCTTGTCATTACCCAACAACCACAGGAAACATCTAATCCTCTCTGGCCCCTTCTACTTCCAAATCAAATCCTAAAATCCATCCTTTTCGCCTTTTAGATCACCCCTAATATAATTATAACCTTTCTTAATCGAGAACAAAACCATCCCCTTCCTTCCATGATAGCCTATCCCTTCCCTCACCACAAGGTACGGGAAATCCCTCTAGCAGTGTCATCCCTTCCCTATCCATGAGTCCGTCTAATTTCTCCCAATTCCAACCCTGTGCATCTATTAAGTCTGTAACTTTCCATCTTCTCAAACCCTCATCTAAATCTACCATACAATGATCCACCAATTTAGTGCTTTTATTCACCCAACAATCTTCCCAAAAATTTGTTGACCTTCCATTTACCACAACCCTCCATACAAATCTACTGGTATAATCCCACACCTTCATAATATCCTTCCAAAAGCAAGATGCATTACCTAGCACCTTAAGGATTGAAGAGAGCTCTCTCCTATTATTATACTTATGACGTATTACCTCTACCCACAACTCATTTGAGCCCTCTCGCAGTTTCCAAGCTAACTTTAGAAGACAAGCTTCATTCATACTTCTCAAATTAAGAATCCTAAGCCCACCACACTGCTCCAGCCTTTGTAACTTATCCTATCCTATCAAATGAACCTTTCACCTTTCTACCTCATGCCCCCATATAAAATTCCACTAAACCCTTTCAATCTCCTCAATAGTAGTCTTAGGAAGCAATGACACCATCATAGGATAAACAGGTATTGCACCTATCACAGCCTTTGCCAAAGTAACCCTTCCAGCCATACTCAGACAATTTACCTTCCATCCAGCTAACCTCTTCTTCACTCTATCTAGAACATACTGCCAACATCTCCTCCTACCTTTTGCAAAGGATAAAGGCACCCTAAGGTACCTTCCTAGGTCCCCTGTTATCTTGAATCCAAATATATCAGCTAACCTCTTCTTTGACGCATTATTTACGTTTCTTTAAAAGAAGATAGTTGACTTATTATTATTCACCTTTTGCTCTGACCATGTACAAAATGTCCTCAAACAATTCATTACCACAACAATTTGCCTTTCTGTAGCTTCCCCAGATAAAATTAGATTATCAGCAAACATAAGACAAGTAACCTCAAGTCCACTTCTACCCATTCTGATCGATCTCCACTCTTTGTCTTCCTATGCTTATTGTATCATATGTGATAATTTTTCCATTGCAAGTACAAAAATGTAAGGGACAGAGGATCCCCTTGCCTTGTGCCCCTAGTAGACTTAAAAGCCTTAATCCTTTCCCCGTTCTAAAGAACCTGAGTATAAATAGTACAAATACAATTTATAATCAATTCCCCAATCTCCTCTTCAATCCCAATCTCAGCCAAAACTTCTCCAATAAAACTCCACCTCAAACTATCATATGCTTTCTCTAAATCAATCTTGATAGCAAAAAAAAACCCCTCTTGCCTCTCATCGATCTCATACTTTGCACCAACTCTTGTGCAATAACAATATTGTCCTGAATATGTCTCCTTAGGATAAAACTGGCTTGATTAGGAGTAACTAACTTCCTCATTACACCACGTAGTCTCCTAACCAAAATCTTAGGAATACACTTATAAAGCATATTGCACAAAGATATAGGCCGCATCTGTTTAAAGCATTCAGGTCTTCAACTTTCGACACCAACACAATGAGTGTTTCATTAATATCCTCCATATTCTCCTTACCCTTCCAAACATCCCTCACATATCTACAGACCTCCTTCCCTACCATTGACCATTCCTTTTGGAAAAATAAAGCAGGGAAACCGTCCGGCCCTGGTGCTTTAAAAGCCCCAATAGAAAAAATAGCCTCTTTAATTTCCTTATTAGAAATTCCTTATTCAATCTATCACATTCATTAAGGGTTAATTTTGGAAATAAAAACAAAGGTTGCTCCATCTCCCCTTCTTCTTCCTCCTTGAATAAGTTCTGAAAAAAATCCCTTGCCATCCTTCTAAGAGTAGACTGATCTTCAACCCATTATCCATCTTCTCCCTTTAGCATAGCCACCTTATTCCTCCTTCTCCTTACTAAGGTTCACACATGATAAAACTTAGTGTTCCTATCACTATCATTTATCCATTCTCCCCTAAACTTTTAGAACCAAAGAATCTCCTCTTGTTTAAGCACTTCCTCTAATTCGTCTTGGAGAGATCTTTCAAGCTTGATGAGATAATGGAAAGGCTTCACCATTCTATTCAACTTCCTCTGAACACTATCCAAATGAGCCAACAACTTCCTTTTTCTCTTATGTATGTCAAGAAAACTTCACAGTTATACTTACTCAACGTACTCCTGATTGCCTTTAACTTCACCTTTGCATTCCCTTCCCCTCTCCAACCCTCCTGAACTACTTCCTTGAAATCATTATGATACATCCAAGCTACTTCAAACCTGAACGGTCGAGCCCCAAAGCCACATGAAGCCTCCTTAATGCATAACAACAACGGGTTATGATCTGAACAGTTCAATCAAACTAAACATTTAATAATAGCCTCTTAAAATTGACATCTCCATAAATCATTGCAAAGTCCCCTGTCAAGCCTTTCAAACACTTTCTCATAGCCAAAAATTAAAGGACCTTTCCATGTAAACCGGTTACCCCAAGCACCAATTTCCATCAACCCATAACTATTAATCCGATCATCAAATATCATACACTTCCTCATATTCACCTGTGCCCCACCACACTTTTCACTTTCCATCCTTATATCATTAAAATCACTAATCATAGCCCACGACTCTCTCATCCTTATAGCAAATTCCTGTATCTCTTCCCAAAAAATCCCTTTCTCTCTTTCCCTCGAGCTAACATACACAATTGTCAATTTCCATTCTTCTTTTTGGCTATACTTGACTGAAAGATAAATGTACTGTGCATGCTGTCTCACATAATGAATAGAAACCCGTTCACTTCTCCATGCTACCCAAATACCACCAGAAAACCCAATGCCAGGTACAATCAACCAATCCTTAAATCCCAACCTTTTAAAAATCTCAGCAGCTCCATCCCCATTAACTCTTGTTTCTAGTAACCCAATGATATTTGGATCTCTATCATTCACAATCATCCTTAAACTCCTCAAAAAACTCTCGCTACCCACACCACTGCAGTTCTAGATAAGTATTTTCAGGTCCATAACACAAAGGAAATATACACAATCAATCCACACTCATTCGCACTGGCGTATCACACTAGTTGCTCTCCCCCTCTTCCTCTATAGCCTCCATTATATCCCCTTTTTCCCATCACACAACTTCATCAAGCAGTCTATTTCTATCCACACCACAGACACTGCTTATGCCACCCTACATTGAGGGAGTTAAGTACTATATTGGCATCCATCTCTGTTGGGGAAACTCTTATCTGACCAGCTCAACTTCTTATGTCATTCCTGAACCCCTTTTTAAAAAGACTCATCTTCTCCTTTTGAATCTCCCTGACCAGTTCCACAAACTGTTCATCAACAAGCACTAAATCTCTACATGTATTCTTAGCCTCTGCATTGCTCTTCTTACCTTTGAACTACACCTTTTCTTTGACCCTGCTCACCAAATGCATGCCATCCCCATTACCAATCTGCTCTCCCTCAACAACCTTAACCTCTAAGTTCACAATATTAGCAAATCTGGATCTGTCCTTATTTAATTTTGAAACCGTTTGCATGCTTAGCTTGCCCTCTTTATTCCATAACCCCTGTCTACCTCTCCTTCCCCTGTTAACCACTGACCATCCCCCAAATCTCCTTGCTTCCCCATTCATACCATCCATCACTTCTTCCTCCCTATCCTGAACATCACGCCCCTTCTCCTTACATTCCCTATCCATATGCCCATACTTCCCACAATAGTAAAACAGCAAATGCAAACCCTCATATTCAATTCTTCTCTCCTTCTTATCAATGATATATCATGAAAGTAGAGCCTTTTTGAGATCCACCTGTATTCCTACCTTTGCATAACCACCTCGAGACCTCAAAGAAGTAGACATATCCACTTTAATTGTCCTCCCAATCTCATTCCCCATTGCCTCCAATAGCTCTTCATCATAATATTCCAGTGGTAGATCAGGAAACCGAACCTACACCAACACATCTTCAATAGTACCTGTCTTAGGATTAATTAGGCTCCCACTTTCGAACAGTTAGATAATAGTCAGAAATCATCCATGGACCCCTTAATAACGCTACCTCAAAATCCTCAGCAGCAGAAAAATTAATTGCATAAAAATCATTCGGAAGGTCCATAATAGTAACCGTACCCTTCTTGGCCCACATCTTTTGCACTCTATCCTCAATCATCCTCTTACCTAATCTTTTCCCCAATAATTTCACAGTCAAACTAAGCTCATATGGCTTCTTAATATGAACAAGAGCTTTCTCAGACAACACAAGTCAGGAATCACAAACATACCTCTCATGTGCCTCACCACTTTAATTTCAGATCTAATCGAATCCAAGCATTCATTCTCCTCCATCTCACCAGTCTGACCCCTCTCATTCCCGCTCCTTGACCTAACTCCCTTGAGCGTATCCTTTGAAGGATCTAGGTGAAACACCAGAACCTTCTTCCGTACCTCCATCTACAGCACCTTAATCTTTTTCTTACTTCTCTGCAGCAAATCCACCTCCTCCGCTGATCGATGACTCTTGTTAGAAAGCTTGGGAAATTCCGCCAGAGAGCACAGCGGTAGACTCATCGTGCTCTGTTATACACTCGTAACAAAACTCAAATTTTGATCAGTCAAATAAATATGTCAAAAAATGAGTTTGAAATTAAATTATTTTAATGGAACTATAACTATATATTACTCAAACCAAAGTTACGCACGACTACGATAAACAAGAAACAAAGAAAAATAGGCGTTTTCATTCCACGCTCATCATGAGCACCAGGTACTTGTTAGCAGCTTGGGCTCGTCCAAGCCCTTGATTTCATCTTTAACTAATCTCTGCTATTCATTTTAAAATTATTTTCAGTGTTTTTAACATTATATTATTAAAATAAAAATTTATAAAAATTTTAATATTAAATATGTATGTTCAGAAGATATATAAATAGTTAATTTATAAAAACTATAAAAAATTAATATTAAATTAGATAATTCAAATTAAATACGGTCAGAATGCTTGTAAACTTATTTATTTTATAATTTTTTATTTTAATGAATATAAAATAAAAAGAGAAACTTTTAAATTTTAACAGTCATTTCATCAATAGTGATGAGTAACATAGTATTTATCCTCTACTAAGTAGGGAAGACAATCCAAATTTAATATTAAAATTTTTCATATTTTTTATTTTAATAATATAATATTAAAAACACTGGAAAATAAATTTAAAATTAACAACAGATATCAATTAAAGATGAAATTAAATGCTCATCACTGTAACGAGTGAGAAATGTAGATGTGAAAAAACAGACCTACAAAGAAACTAAAAAAAGAAAAAGGCAAAGAGCTAACTAGTATCACCTCCTGAGAGAATGGAAGTTGGCTTCTCTTCATTAATTTTTTTTTAAATTATAATCTTAAATATTGAATTTTATTTTAAAAAATAATTATATTTTTAATTTCTTCATTTATTTTCATAAATTTAATGTTTTAATAATAATTAAAAATTAAAAAAATTAATTTTATGAAATATTAAATATCAATCATTTAAAAATATATCTAATAATTGAGATGAGAAATAAAGAACAAGTGAAGAGAGGAAAGAATGGTGAGAAGTCAACTCCAAAAAAAATGGCAGGGGTCTGATCATAGGATATTGCTGAACTGTTGCATCTAACACGCACAGACACACGAAGTTAATTTTTAAGATGAGCATTGAGGATGACGTGCTTTGCTGGAGCATTCATGCATCTGATGACTTTTGCCGAAAGAATGAAACACTTAAGCCCCTAAGGTCCCATTTTGTTCAAAAAGATGGATAACTTTCCCTTTTTAGTTTTTACCCATTTAATCATTTCCTGTTTCTTATTTTTATTATTTGTCCTCTATTTAGGAAATGGAGAGAGAAAGGAATAAGAAATTTTAATGAGTTTAATTTTTTGAAAAATAAAATTGAAAATTTTTGGTTAAGTTTCTCTACTTTTTTTCCTAACATTCTCTTTTCATTAATTTTTTTTTTCAATTATACTAGATTAAGCATATTAATGAATACTGATAGTATAAGTTAGCCAATTCAAACGAATCCCTACACATTTATACACTAGACAAGATTTAAAATAGTAGTTTTTAGTCATATTTCCATGAAATTTTCAACCAAAAATATTAGTGTTACATATATATATATATATATATATTGAATTAATATTTACAGTTTTGCATGCTTGCAGATGGTGCAAGAAATATTTGGCAAAAAATTAAAGTAGATAATGGGAGAAATATGAAAATAAGCCAAATTATTTATAACTAACAATGAAAATCACCAGAATTTTCATAATTGTTGTCTCAAAGCATATAAATGCGAGTCAATTCCATCAGGCCACAAGCCTTCCCAATAGAGAAACCAGAAATAAGTGACACAATGGACTCCAATTTGTCATTTTTTTTCTTTTTTTTTTCTTTTGTTTACATTTCTATAGCACTTGTTGCAGCCCTTACATTGCAATACACATTTGTTTGACAACCTTTTGAACTTCATTGTTCACCAAAGGATACAGTGGAAACAATGCAGGGTAGCAGGTAGGGACAGATGAAAAGTCCGATCGTTGCCTATACAGAAGTTACAGAAAGGTAAAGCTACAGAAAATATGGTGAGTACTAAGTAGCTTAATTGACCGCCAGCCCAAGTCTGGCAAGCTCATGGATCACGGCGAGTTCGGTCCGGTTATTGAATTCACAGGTACCTACATCTTAGGTTTGCTTATGCGGTTGGGAGCTTTGCTCCATGCTCCGTTTTCACCAAAGTTTTGGGACGAGTTTCCGCTGAAAATTAGAAGTTCTTCATTATTTGTAAACCAATATGAACAAGACAAATCACAATTCTAAAGAAACATTCAAGCATAAAACTGCTTCATTGAAATAATTGATGAGTTAAAATTTCCAATCTGAGTCTCCTGTTCTAGTACCCCCAAATCCAGAAATTTCCATTAGTTGTTAGGCACTAAATTGACAACTTCTCTTTCTTACCTTCAGCCTCGGAAAATTGAATGAATTCCTCAAGCTGAGCTTCCATCACAGAAAGATCCTCATCAGCGTCAAGATCAAATGTATCAGGCAGCAAATCAAGCACATCACTGCTATCAAATTCATCCTCAGCATTGTTATAATAACCTTCCTCATCCTGTTGCTGGCTGAGCCAATAGTCATGGTACCATGTCAATGTTGTTACCAGCTGCCACCATTCTGGAGAAAAGTCCTCCACTTGGCGGAAGGCAGCAGGGATGTAAATCGGAGCATTAGGATTTAATGTTGATCTTCCTCCAGAGAGTAATTCCATCTTTCGAGTTTGACTTTGATCCTTGTTCTTTATCTGTGTCACAGGGCCCAATGACAGATCATCAACAGTACTAGGCACTAGGCAGGAAGAAGAGTTAAATCGAATATGACATGTTACTAATATACACATACAGGACTGCCCATATAACAAAAAACAAAAGCATGTGCAAACAATCCCATTGGCAAAGCAACGGATGCTTGGTACTCTGAAATTACTTCGAGGGGGGGGGGGCATCCAAGAACACAAGGCTACTTAACTTTCTGTTTTCAGATCAAAACACAGAAGTTACTCGTATTTTCAGGTCAAAACAATTCTTGACTCCTTTGCAGTTTCGACCTCAATAACGTCAGTAGACTTCGAAACCTTAAGTCCACAGTCACAGTATGAATTTGCTGACGCGTTTTATTTTTTCAACATGGGATAAGTGTTTCTCCGCGTGATTCAGACCCAGAGGAACCAAAACAGTCAAGGAACAAAGATAAGCAGTGAATTTGACGGAGCGGTTGACAATTCCATGACTCACACGAGTAACAACCATAGTAATTAACATATAATTCACCATTTTGTCCAGGGCCAAGTCATCAAAACTAGCACATGAGATAATAATATTGGGAATCTTTCGAATAGTCAGTCATAAAGAAACTGGAAGATTGAAGATATTTCATAATCAGATCGAGAGGTTCTTTTGCTAACAAAATATTAAACTGATCTTCCTGAGTCTCGCAAAATGCAGCGGCAAAGAACCAAAACCACCAAATCGTTTAAAACCGCCCATCCTTTTCCAGTTACAAAACACAATTGGCTCATATATTTTCATCATCCTTCGCAATAAAAGCAAATTCTTGAAAACCACTCAACCTACAACACCTCAATTTTTCCCTCGGTTTCATCTCCTTCCGCGCAGGCCAAGCAGAAATTCAAACACAGGTATTCACGTAAAATAAAAATAAAAATAAACGAAAACCCACGAGATCGCGAACAGATCGGAGAGGAGAGAGAACAAATTACCTGCAACGAAAGAAAGGCGATGACTAGTTCTGACCAATCAACGAAGCAAGAACGCGTAGACGATGCGAAGTGTTGAGAGTCAGATCGACAAGAAAATGAATAAATAGACGGGGCGGGGTTCCGAGCCTTCGAGGCAAAGGTTCGGAACGAGATGGGGCCCGCGGGTTCGATGGAAATAATGCACCGTCCACTGTGCACCTTCGGACGCGCCCGGGAGCAGCTAGTGGGGTCGATAAAATGGTCCGTGTGAGGCGACCTTTGTTGACTCGCTTTTCTGGCTTTATAGTCTCCATGTCTATTTGCGTCTTTTTAAATTTGGGTTAATAACAAATAAAAAATAAGTAAAACTCGTCCACATGATAATTTATGGTGGGATTGAGTCATTTACTATATCAGTCAATTAGGTTTCGCAAGCATATTGCTAAGTAATCCTCGTTTTGTCACAGCAATTTTGTGGGTATATCATTCTAGGTGCTACCGCGGTTTTAGTGTTTTTCTAAAAAAGATGGGACTTTCATTGTGCAGTGACCTGACCCTATTTAGCGCGGGCCGGGGCTGGTGTTAATTTTTACTCTTTGAGCGGGAAAAAAAAAAAAAGAATGCTAGGAGGAAAAAGAAGTCCCTTTGACGATTCATGTGTTTGGTTTGTGTAAGGAACTTCTTTATTTGAAGCATTATGTTAATTAGACACACTCTTTAACCACACAACACTATTGTTCTTTTTTTTTTTTTTGGGGGGGGGACGCTTCAGGACTTGCTTCATAGGTCTTTGTTCAAATTTTTTCACGTGTATAATATCAGTAAAACACCAAAAGCTGAAGTTGTGTGGCTGTAAGTATGTTTCTATATGGTGCACCTTATTGACAGTACTGCTGCAGGTTGATGCAACAAGAATCTCTTAACAGCGCTAGCAAGTAATGAATCACACCATTGGTCAATACCGGCGCGTCTAATTCTTATCTAGAGAACTCAGTTGAGCGTAGATAGCTACCATTCTTTTTACACCAAAACAAAACACAATGATCCAGTCTTGTGATTACAAAGTATTGTGTCCAGTCGATTATAAAATCATGGAAATCATTATCCAGTTACACTAATGAATTTTCATATACAAGAGCATGAGGGAAAATTTTAAATAAATGCCTTAAAATAAGACAGGTTGTTTCTTTAAAAAAAAAAGATAATTAAGACTTAAACCCATGACATTGTTGATCACGAATGTAATCCTTGCTAAATAAATCAATTTTTACTAACAAGCCAATTTGTTAATTTCTTATAAACAAGAACAGAAGTCGAGTTTCAAAACATTCTTATTGAAAAAATAGATAAAGTATTTGGAATTCAATAATTTTGAAAATACTCCTTTTGGTTATATTTATAGAGCAAATAGAAAAAAAATTATCATATTTATAAATCCCCTCATTAGATTTTTATTATAAATTTTCTCATTTTACAATATTAAAATGAGAAAATATATTAATAAATATATATATATATATATTTAATAGGGATAAAGTTAATAAATTATTAAATTCTTAGATAGAGTTAATGAATTTTAATATTTTTTAATTTTAATAAAACATATTAAGAGTGTTTTATAAATAGAATTATAAGACTGATAATTAAAAGGGTAACGCTGATTTGCTTAGACAACACTGCTCCTGGATCGCCAGGTCCCATCAATCGCACATATAAGATGGACTCAAGGCTTAATTAGCCATAGATTGCATGTCTAAGACACGGGGATCATAGGTCCAAAAAATCTTCCCATAATGAGCTTCATGCATATGGGCTTGTTGGTAGCTCAGCCATACCCGAACGCACATTCATGATTCATGTCATTAATTTATATCTTAAAACTTAAAAGTAAAAGTGCCCATTAATAATAACCATTATTTTGAAGTGTGTCCATATGTAATCATATAACATTTAAAATTTTGGATTCAAAAATGATAATCGTGAAAGTGTGAAAGCGTGTGTTTGGATAATATCTTAACTTAAGTTGTGATGATTCAAACCTTGGTTGAAATGTTAAAAGCCCATTTACTCATGTTTGGATTAAAAAAAAAAATAGCAACTAAAGTTGGGAGTTGAACAAGCATTTTTCACAAAGCTGCTACCCTTAGCTTTTCAATGTTGCATTAGGTGGGTGATGAAGGTTGGGAAGCATTCAATGATTTTTAAATATTTTATAAGCTTCTCTCTCTTCACTGTCTCCCTTACTCAAATCCTTGCTATGCTTTGTTGTATTATCTTCACCTCCTTCTCCTTTGCTCTGTTGAATTTGACTTAAGATTGTCACTACTACCTAATCTCGATCGTGTGTGTTGCTTGCGTTGATTATTGCTTGTCATTATCCCTTCTTCTTGTGTCGGGAATGTGATTGAGATAAACTTTCTTTAGTTGTCCACTATATTATCTTCATCTTCTTATTCTTTGCTTTGTTGGAATTTGACATGAGATCGTTGCCATTGTCGCCGTCGTATTAAGATCTCAACTATATTTGTTACTTGCGTTAATTCTTGCTAGCTGTTGTCCCTTCTTCTTGAGTCGATAGTGTCCTGGTTTTAAGAGTGTGGTCGCTGTCATCCATTCTTTTCCTCGCTGAATAAGCTTCTTCTTTGCCTTCTTCCCTGCCTTTAGTATTGCTCACATCAAAATCACGTACATGTGCCGATGGGAAGAGAGGCCATTGCCTTGGAAAAAAAATATGTTCTTAAAACACATATGTTTTATGGTGAATTTTATTATTTAATTCTAACTTTTGAATTTTAAGATTTTTTCTTATTAATTATAATTTTAAGTTTAATAATTTTTTACTTATTAATTAATAACAAAAACATAGACAAAAAATTTATGTTGATTTTTATTATTAAATATCTCAACTGACTTTTAAATCAAATTATTTAAATAAATTTTAATTTATCTAGCTGATTTTTTAAAAAATATTCAAATATAAATTATGTTATTTTTTAAATTTTAATTTACTACTTAATTGAATTTTAACTTCAGTTCTAACTTTTTAATCTAAACATACTCAAAGTTGTTCTGTGCAAACCAGGTTAAAATTGGAGCTTTGTGTATAAACAAACACTGATTTCCACGCAAGGGAATGCCTACATTGGAATTGAAGTCTTTCAGGGACGTTTTGTCGTTTTTGTATTTGCATAGTTCCGTCGTCAAACGGCGTATAATTAATTTTACGCACAAGTCATCTAGTAACGTCATTGTCAACTCGCAGTAGTCAAACGCTGATAACAGCTTGCTTGCAATTTTCGCTCTCTCTCTCTCTCTCCTCTCTCTCTCTCTCTGTGTGTGTGTGTGTGTGTGCTAGTTCGCATTATCAATAAAATAAAGCAGCTGAAATTGCCATCAAACGCTGCGTAATGTATACTAACAACAATGGAGAGAGCTTGAAACGACAGTAACGCGTGCTTATTGTAACACAAATAACAATATCCAATTTGGATTCAATAAATAGTATAAATTTACTGACTCCCTCCATCCTCATACACATAAGAGATTTTCTAAAAAAAAATTTATCTTTAACTATAAGAAGTTATTAACATTTTTTTAATAAATAAATCATTATACCTTTATTAAATTAGAAAGAAAAAGTTAAATACTCTCATTAATTTACTGTAGAAAAAGATATTCATTTTTTATTTACAATAATTATGGATAAAATTGAAATGTTGCTATGCTTTTAATTTGATAACCAACTTTTATTGAATTATATAATTTGATCAAAAATATTTTAAACTCCCTCTATCTCAAATTATAAGACACTTTTAAAAAAGATTCAGCGTCTCAAAATATAAAATACTTTGATAAAATAAGGTTTTATTAATAATATTTTTTTAATATCACCCTTCTCATATATTTTCTTTTTTTAATATTTTTTCATCAATAGAGTATTAAATGAAGGATATTTTTAAAAGTTTATATTTTTATTTTAAAAAAATAAGGTTGTAAATTGTATTTAATAAGCTTTTATTGGTGTGTAAAATTTTATTTAAAAGTATTTTATAATTTAAGATGAGAGAAGTATATAAAGACAGGAGGAGTATTTAATAAGCATCTCACGTGATATGCTACACCAATTATCACATGACACTGTAAGGCATTTAATTTCAATTTTTGGAAGTAATAACACACACACACACATAAATACTCTAATTATGAGGGTTGTTTTGATTTTTTAAGAAACAATTTATATTGATAATTTTTAACGTTGATGAAATTCCATAACTACAATTAAAGTTTTTATTAAAAGAATAAATTTACTGTATTTAAATCCAAAATCCCATTATTTTTTACAAGGAAACTAGTAAATTCAATTTGTTTTGGGGGGAGAGAAAAGAAAGATTCTAATATCAAGTCCCAAACACAAACAAGAATAAAAATAATGGGGTTCACGGGGATGATGCTATTCACCAAGTAGGGGGATTCCAATGCTGATTCATACGTAGAATTTGCATGAAAAGACAGAAAGAAGATGGTTGAGAAATTATGGAGTTTGTTTGTTCTGGTATCGCTCTCATGAATTAGTGTCTGTGAAGGCCACGTGTCAGTTCCCACGTGAAAGTGGCCACCTGTCCCATTCTGATGATGCTTTTCATTCACATGAATGAATACTAGCCCATTCTGCAGAACCAGCACCTGATTGACCAGCCTATCCCTTCCAATGTTCACATACTTCAATAAGCCACTCCATGGTTCAAGTTCCGATTTCAGAGAAAGGCAATGAATTGTTTGTGAAGGGGAATGAAGGGTCAGAGTGGGAATTAATTTCGGAAGAAAAGAAGGAATGTGATAGCATGGAAGGCTTTTACAGGCTTTAGAATCTGTATCTTGTGTTTAGAAAAGACGAAGGTTTTGGCGCGTTTCTCTTTAAAAGAAAGCTTAAAGTTCCTCAAGACCCCGTAGTTGAGAGAAACAACTTCTGATTCTGTGCGCAATGGCCACAAAACTAAGATCCGTTATGCTCTCTCTGGTTTCATCAATGCTGCTCCTTCTCGTGCAGAACCATGCATGCAACTAAGACACTCTCTCATATCTAGTGAAAGCTTTAGGCTCTGCATATATACATTTATTTATATTCCCAAGCGAGATTGTTTGGCTATTTTTCTTAGCTGTTCCGTTACATCATGCACGCAGGTTTGGTCGAATTTCGGTCAATGGATCTCATGTTTGCTGCATTTGAATGTCTAGTCCAGGACCCAAAAGAAAAAAATTTCTAGTCGTTGCCTAGATTTCTCTCTGCCATGTTAGCCAATGACAACTAGCGAACAATACCACTTCATAATACGTATAGTCGTTATGGGTTTACAGTATAATGTCATGCATGTGAAGTCTTGGAAATTGGAATGATAGTGAATATAGTGATGAAGCATGATGACGACGGTGATTTCAGGCAGAGATTCTGATGGACACCACGGAGGCTCCGGCTGCTCAGCTAGGCAACAACACTAATCACCTTCCCACTGTGAGACTTTCCTCTCCCATGCATAATCTCACTGCTCTGTCCATTACTTTCTTATTTAAGCCGAAGATTTGATTGTCGTTGTGTTTCTTCAGCGTGGCATCACTGAAGGCAGTCTTCAACCACAAGGTAAATATTGAATAACCCCATTATGAAAGCAGAGCTTGCTTATTAGTTTTAAACTGGAATGAGAAATTAACAGATCTCAGAATGTGGGCCAAGGTGCACACAGAGGTGCTCGAGAATGCAATACAAGAAGCCATGCATGTTCTTCTGCAAAAAGTGCTGTGCAAAATGCTTGTGTGTGCCTCCTGGAACTTATGGCAACAAGCAGGTGTGTCCTTGTTACGATAACTGGAAGACCAAAAGGGGAGGACCCAAGTGCCCTTGATCCTCTGCAATCTCATGCGCACAATCTAAACCAGCATCTTATATTACCATACATACAGAATTTTCAATTTAATCTTCTCACCTGTTTTTCATTTTTCTCTTTCTACTTTCACTTTATTTCTGTGCCTCGCATAGAGAATAAGCATTTAAAATTTCATGCAAAAAACAAAAAAAAAATAGTATGCGCCCATCCTGAAATTGCTTCTGCAATACATTCGTTCAGTGGATCCAAATTTACTTCTGTACAATAAATTTCAAATTTGATGAAAAAAAACATAATAATTCAAAATTAATCAATACAAAAACACATAGTCAAGCAAAACTATGCTGAACCACTTGCTGCCTTCCTACCTCCTTTGCATGTCCACTTCATGTTTCAATACCTTTAGGAGAAAAAAGAAAAAAAAAAAAAAGTTCCGAACTTCGTCTTTTGAGCTCTCATTATATCGTCTTGCTCGTCGTTCTTCAAGATGATGTCGCCATGCTATGAACATGCTGGCTTTACTTTATCGAGAGTTCCTTTCCAGAGCAACAGTCTTTGTTTCCCTAGTCTTGTTTCCAGCTGGGCCTCTTCTATGTATTTTTGTTGTTGTGGTTGTAAAACCCATCTTATAATAGGCCAGTTCGCCTTTCTTGTGTTATATTTACTGTTACAGTTTGTTGATGTTTTTAGCTATGACCCATGAAATTTAAATTTTTTGGGTCTTTATGTTTGTAATTGTTTGCTTCTAATTTAATGAAATTTGATCGTTCTTCCAAAAAAAAAAAAAACCACGTTCGGTTAGCAAACCTCTAGTGTTAAAAATATAAGGCTATGACTGCTTAAACTAGATCTTAAGTTTGATACCACATGGATAGAGGAAGTGTCTTTGAAATTGACATAATCGAATAGTCGTGTGAAAGAAAAAAAAAACAATTCACTCAGCTAGGAAATGGTAGTTTGGTAGAGGGAAAGGAATTTGATTTTTCTTTAGCGATGTTTCAAATTTAGATTTTATAAATAGAACTATCCTTATTTAGATCATAATCCGAGGAAGATTCTACCAGGTCAAGGATTAATTTTATCCTTAAATTTTTTGCGCAAGATCTGCGAATATCCTAAACTAAATTTTTTGGGCAAATTTTTTTCCTGAAACTTTAAAAAATTCAATAAAAATGCATCTACTTGAATGTCGCGTGCCTTAAAAAAAGTCAACAAAACAAGTTCACTTAAGTAAGTAATAGGTCAACAAGGATAATAAAAAAATAAGACATTGAATTTTAATAATTTAAGAATAAAAATGACTCAAAAGCAAGTCCAAAAGACTCACAAACCTTACATAAAAGGTTCAAGAGCAAAAATAAATAAATCTCCAATTATATTAGTCATGGTACAAGACATAACATGACATAATTTTTTGCTTTAGAAGCAAGACTCACGCATGTTGCGAACTTGCGGTGCATTTTCTTTCTTGAGGAGAAAAATACTAGAGAACAATTTTAAAAAAATCTAAAACATTTTAAGAGTTGTATCGATTACATTTAAGATCAAGCTAATTTGGTTTGTTAATTCTGGATGTAATAAAATATTAAAAACTATACAATAGGCTGCGCGCATTCGACTATAAAATTTGAGCTGGACTATAAATAATACAACCACCAGCCACTTACTGCTACATAAATACTCTTTCTGGCTCTTGATATAAAACGAAGTTTGTAAGCTTTTTTTTGCCGCGAACACTATGTTGAAATTTCACAAAAAATAATTAATTATTATAAGATTTATTGAACTATGCATAGTTTAATTGCTAATAAAATTTATGATAATTAATTTTTTTATGTAAGATCTTTTTCTTTTTAATTATTGATATAAGAGGAAGTTAGAGCAATTAATATGCTTTCAATTTTACCCCTTACTTATTGTTATTTTAATTCCTATAGTGCAATTTATTATAGTTACTAATTAAAAAAACAGTAGAATTGAAAAAAAATATAAATTTTCAAATAATTTTAAAGACACATCGACCATTTGCCAATAAACATGAGATTGATTAAATTTACCTTATATTAATGAGTAATGACTGTAATAAAAAAACATTAATCGATGATAACTACCCAACACGAGGTGTTAGCTGAAAGCACATTCGAAGCAAAGAGAAGCAGAGGGCGCATAATTTTGGTGGAGAAGTAGGTTGGCTTATCACTCACAAAATCCTGGGGCCCTTGTCCTTGGGTAGTTGGTGGCACGCTGAAGCTAACCCATCCATCACATGTTCACTCCGATATTTTAATGCAACGCATGGTCCTCCTTCCTCCACACAACAATCCAACACAGTGGTCAATCCACTACCAAGGTCAACTACTCCTCTCCTAAGAAGCAGGGAACGCAACTGTAATTATTATTATCAATGTTCATGCACTCTGCTTCTGTGACCAAATGCCGTATAAAATTATTTTCTGAGCTTTTATTCAATCCCTATGCGTTACTGACTTTTACACTGCTTTATTTTATTCCTCTCTCAAGCGCCCGCCATTGAATGACCTTCTTTGATTTTTTTTTTTTTGTTATCTCAATTTTTGGCTATGCTACTGCTATACGCATTAATCATAGTAATATTTACGAACCAGTCATGCATGTAATGCGCAGAAATTCATAAATTCTCATCAAAATAGTACTCCCTCCGTTTTTTTATATAAAAAAAAAATTACATCACACGGTTTAAGAAAATTAGTTAATCATAATAATTATATTTAAAAATAAAAAACTAGACTAAAATATCCCATATTAATTAATATAAGCATACATTAATTATTTCTTGTTAATATAAATTATGAGGGGTGATTTAAAAAATATGTAATAAATACTTATTAAAATTTGTGATTTTGCTTATATAAAAAAACAAATAAAAAGTGACAATTTTTTTATAAATAAAAATGGATTAGTACTTAATTACTTATTGAAAATGAAATTCATTCACTGATAGTGGAATGAAGGGAAGACAAGGCTTGAAAAAGGAAACAAGCTTCTACCTAGAACCACCAGCAGTGCTCATCATAAACATAAACCGTGTATGAACAAGCACTAAGACCGCTCTTTGTGTCCGATATAACCTCAACGTACGACTGGCATGAGGCAAATCTCGGTGTATCAAAGAATATAATTATTGCTAAATTTGAGGCATGCAGTAATGCTCAGGCTCAAAAGGGGCCCGAACTTAACGTGTTAACTACCTCAACCAAGCACAACGATTAAGCAAGGGAGCACATTCATGGGATATTCGGGTTTATATAAAAAGTTCTCTCGTCAGTCACACGCCGTGGCATATTCTCCAACGCGAAAGCTCTTCATATATCAACCTTTGGGGATCTGTTTTCACTCATTGATTTTCACACGGGGGTTACTATGCACCGTTGACAGTTAACTTCGTCCACGTTTCGTTAATTTTCCGTTGGTTTCCAATTCCACCGTTCGCATACAGAGTCGTGTCTCTGTTCTGCTTCCATGATCGAGGAAACCATATCCACCATAAAATCACTAGATAGACTTGTTCAACGAAGCCACGAAGAAAGAATCGCATTAAAGTAGACGAAGGATAAAAAACAGAGAAGACAGTACGTCGAAGACATCGTAAAACATAATAATTCCAGAGCTTCAGGAATCACGACCTTTCACGTTATGAAAGCTCTGGTTCTATTCGACGACGATTCAAGAAGTCGCATATACAGGCGCAACTTATTTTCTCGGCAGGGTGAAAGAAAAACTGAGAGAAAATTAAGCATTGAAGAAGATAAACATAAGATTCATGGGTTTTACAGAATCCTCTCAAATAAGCAAAAATACATAAAAACTAATTAAAACGAAAAAATTGAGATTCTAATTCTAGCAAATAAAAGAAAAGAAGAGAGGGCTGTATAGGCATAACAATTAAGATCTTTGATTGGGTTTATGGCGAAAGCAAGATTCAAATATTGTCAAGGTCGTCACCGTCTTCGATCAAGGCCACCAAAGAGAGGGGATTTATGGAGTATCTGGACGGCCTCTTCTCGACCTTACTCATGTTCACAGATCGCTTCTTGCGATTATAAAGCAGAGCATATTTAGAAGGGTGCTGCGGCTTCTTCTGCTGCTGCTCCTGAGGACGAGGATCTTGGAAGGGGAGAGCCGAGGGTTTAGCAGAAGCAGATTCCAGAGACGAAGGAGAAGGCTGAGGACGAGGGTAAAGGAGATCAGTGGGGAAGAAGTTGTATTGTTGAAGACCAGCCATGGGAGAATATTGAGAGGAAAACAGAGAAGGTTTTAGGAGAGTGTGCATATGGGTTGGTGGGAGAGACTTGGTTGGGTACTTGGGTTGATGTAGGCACTAAAGGTAGGGAGGGCTGCATTTATAGGCCGATCAGAGAACAGGAGGAGCTGTTTAAGTTTGTGGAGGATTGGGAATTGCCTGTCTTGGAGATCTATCCTAATTAGTCCGTGATTATTAAGCATTTAGATTTTAGTTATCCCCGCTTAACATCACGTTTCTCTCTTAATTATTTTTTTGTCCATCATAAATTATATCATATGTAATTAAATACTCATCAAATTCTATTTATAAATCAATTACAACATATTTTATTAGTATAAAAAATATCAAATTTTATTAACTTTATATAAAAATTTAATAAATTATCAACCTCATTATTATTAAATATACATACTTAAACAATATATTTTGAAAGAGTGATAAGTAAGGCCCTATAACATTAATATCAAATTAAAAATTTTAATACTGAAACATGATATATTGAATACTGAAATTTGAGAATGTTAATGTTAAAAAATTTTAATTTAATATTAATGTTTCTAGAAGATCTTTATTTATTATTCTCCATATATTTGTGTTGAAAATTTAATTGTATAAAAATAAGTTTAAAAAAATTCTTCCATCTTCAACTTATAAATAAAATTACCTATTCCATTCCTATGTTTGTTCATATTCTCGTGCTTGCGATTCTTTTATCGTTGCTAACATTTCCATTATGTGAAATTGTGAGCTACATTGCGTTTGTTTGGATGCGTGGGATTTAAATTTAAATCAAATCTTTCAATAAGATTCATAAAAAATTATGAATTTGAATCATACATTTTATTATAGTTCATTCGCAACATAGTTAATTGAAATGTGAGCCACGTTATTCTTTCGTTGCCATTCTATTTTCATTTTTTATCTTGTCTTTTTTATGGTCTTTAAATTTGAATTTGAAAAAATTGCAAATCATCTAAACAGGAAATTTTAAATATGTAGATTTTAAATGTAAAATTTTAAATACAGAATTTTAAATTTTAAATTAAAAATTAAACCCAATCTCGCTAATCCAAAACTTACCTAAATCCACAGAATATTACCCCCCCATACACACAATTCTTATATCTTTTTTCTCTTAAACAATAATTATATTATATTTCAGCCGTATATTTTCAATTATATTTCATGTATCTCTCTGAATGCTAATAGCTAAGTTTGCCTCACTCGTGTTTTTGTCCCGTAATCTCTCTCTTTCTAATAGCAGAAGTTATATTGATGGGGAATGACACTCAAGTCTCTTTACTGGAAAAAAAAAAAAATAAGTTACAAATACAACATTACAAAATTGTAGATTTGATAAGTAAAGTTGCAAATTCCTAAAAATTCAATAAAAAAATTAATCATTAAATTTTTTGCATTTTATAAAAATAAAAAATGAGTTGAAAATTCAAGACAATAAAATTATAGATTTACCTCATAATTTTGATATTTTGTAATTTTATTTTTTAAATTTTTTATTTCATCTTCTTGAATTTGTAATTTGTTTTAATTTTAATAGAAAATATAAATCTTAATAATTAAATTTAAAAATTTCAAATTATTATTTAAATACTTTCAAGGATTTCCAACTTTATCCCTTAAATTTGTAATAATTTATAACTCGCTTACCCCATTTAATAAAAAATGTAGATTTTAATGATTAGATTTGAAAAACAACATATTATTATTTGATCATTTGTGGAAATTGACAACTTTATTTTTTAAATTTGTAATTTTTTAGTTGAATTTGCAATTTAATTTCTTTAGAATATGTTGCATTATACAAAAATATCATCTAAGAATATAAGGGACCTACTTTTCATTTAAAATTTAAGAAGAATGACACTTAAGACCCTCTCAAAAGAATTTATTGTAATGAGAGCTTATTAATTTTTATTGGACATTATCTTATAAAAATACTTACATGTTATTGTTAAAAACTAAACCTTAATTTATTAAATTTTAAAAAAATTAACAAAAAATATAAGTTAAAATTTAGCTTTTAATAATATCATGCATGTGTTTTTATAAGACAATGTTCGATATAAAACTAATGAATCCTTATTCATTGTGATAAATTCACTTAAAAAAGCTTTAAATGTCATTCTCCCTAAAATTTACAATGAATTTACTTGAATAAAATAATTCCTTTATACTCAAGTGTCATTCTGGTTTGTTATCCCTTGATTATAGGTTATGAATACGAGCACGAGGTGTTATTAATTCACTTTCAACCGCAGGTTTTTCCCTTATGTTATCTTTTTTAAATCAGACTGATATATCTTTTATTTATTTGTTTATTATATGTGTGATAGGTTATAAGCTGAATTTTACATTCATTCAAGACATGGTTTTGACGAAAATCACCCCCCTTGGTTCAAAAATATAAAATATTTTTAATATAAGATGTTTACAAATATAAGACATCTTAGATCTTTCAAGATACAATTAATGATGTTTTTTCAAAAATAATTTTAACTGAGGATGTAATTAATAAAATTTTTAATCAAAATACCTTGTTAAATAGAAATAATAATATAAAAAGCATGTACTTTTACAAACAATTAGTTAATTTATTAAAGGTGTAATTAAGTTAAAAGAAGCTTATAATATTGACCGGACAAAGTATGAAATATTTTAACATTAAATTTATATGAAAAATCTATATTGATATTGATGATTTTATTTTATTAAGTTAAATTTACACTACTTCTACTCTGATTTGTAATATACTTTTGGAAGAGATATCATCTTTTAAAATATAAAACACTTAGCTACAAATAAAATTTTATTAATTATATTTTTCAATATTATACTTTCCATTACAAAAATTCTCAGGTAGACCAAATATACCGCGTCATTTATATCTGTCCAATTAAAATATTCAAAGTCATCTAAATAAAATCTCATGTGATATAATTTTAATTGATTTCATTCTTATAATAAACTAATGGCCTCATGGTAAAATTAATGATTTGGTTACTTCTACATTCATATAATGTTATAGGTATTTATACTCTTTTTCTCACTTTATAATATTAGGTGTTCTTGGTCGACTACTTTATAACTTTTTTTTTTTAGGACTAGCCTTGAAGATGCAATTGACTTCGCACATTAATAAGAAAATATTACCTTAAATTATAAATTGAGTCAGAATTTTAACAAGTTAATTTTAAACTTTTATAATTTTATACTTGCATGTCCAAACCTATCAACAGGCAACCTTCAAACCAAAAAAAAAGGGCAACCTTTGTACTAATTAACAAGTACTAGTACAATTTATGGAAATGACATATTCAATTAAAAATTCAACTAATCAATTTTTTTTGGGTAAGAAAGGAGGCCAAAGCCCAAAAAAAAAAAACTAAAAACTAATAACAATCTACTGCTCACCCTATATCAACAAAAATAAAATCCTTCACTAACAAAGGAGCCACATGCCAAATCATTAAATCATCACGGAAATGCCAAACTTAGCCAATGTGTTAGCACATTGGTTACTTTGCTGACAAATCACTCTTACCTTCACTTCCCAATTTCTTTTTAACTACCTATGTATCTTCCCCACCAATCTATTACCATCCTTCTTCTCTTTCTGCATAATTTGTTTAAACAAATTTTCTATATCAGTTTCCAGTTCTAGTTTCTTTATTTCCATGCTCCAGGCCAAATCAAGACCATAAACCATCCCCCAAGCCTCAGACACCTCAACATTGCACCAGCCAACCTTCCTCGCAAATCCAACCACCCATTTCCTTTCGTGGTCCCTAATAACACCCCCACACCCAGCAAGACTACGATTGCCCCTTGAAGCTCTATCAGTATTTAATTTCAGCCATCCTACTAAAGGTCTTACCTACCGTCGATTCTCACCCCTACTCCACTTCCTCAATTCTAACTGCAGCCCACTTTTAACAGCTTCAATATTTGCTGCCATATCCAATATACACCATCTAGCATTTAGCACACTCTTCTTTCTACTGCTGTTAAACAAAATATTGTTCCTTTCCTTCCATAGCATCCAACAACCAATCCTAAAAATAACATGTCATTCAAACCCCTGTACCCTCCTACCCTTGTCACTCAAATTCAATTCAAGCCATTCAATCAACTGCAACCAAAAAAAACACCATCACTCTTTACATTAGTTAAAGATTGCCACACCTCCTTAACACTCTTACAATCCCGAAGAGTATGCAAGGCAGATTCACCAAGACCAAACTTAGCACAATTAATAGGAGCTCCAAACCTCTTATGCCTTAGCTCCCTTATGTGTAGCTTGTCAAGTGCCAACTGCCACAAAAACATTCTAACACGCTCAAGACTTGGCCATTCCCAGATTAAAGATTAAAAAATGGAAGGCACACCCACATCATTACTCATAACCTTCTTATAACCACTGCGAACAGAATAATCCCCACTGCTCTCTCTCCTCCATCTCAATTTATCAGCCCCAACCCCTTCTTCAAGAGGAATTATAGCCATAATATGATCAATACAAGAATCAGAAATCTAAACTTTAAACTTCCTCCAATCCTACTCCCCACTTCCATCAACAACATCTACAACCTTCCACTATTCTACCTTTGTTGGTAATTGTTTCATAACCACATCCATTAGCCTCATATTATCATCCATCCACTTATCATATTAAAAAGAAGTTGATCTACTATCATAAATAGACACTCGAATATCACCCTCAAACATTTCCCAAACATCACTCAAGTCTTTCCATATCGAGGAAGCATTCCTTAGGACACGAGGTTCCACTGTTGCCTGTCCTTTATTGTATTTGTATTTCAAACATTATACCCATAGATCACTATGATTCATTTGTACCCTTCATGCCAACTTACTCAAGTAAGCTTCATTCATGCATTCTAAATTCAAAATCCCTAAACTACTACTCTGTTTATCCTTCTGCATCTGCTTCGAACTTACCAAATGCATCTTTCGTGTACCACTATCATGCCCCCAAATGAAATCCCTTTCCAGCCTTTCAATCTCAGCATAAATTGATTTAGGTAATTTACAAATCAT